CTCTGTTTTGTGGCCGGAAAACGCGGGGCTCTCTCTCGCCTTCTCTTTCCCTTGCCTTTCTCTTCTATTCTTGTTTTTTACTCTTCTCTTTCTTTCTCTTTCTCTGGTTTCTTGTTCTGCTTTTTTTCTTCTCGTTCTGTCTTTCTCTTTCTCTGGTTTCTTCTCTCTTTTTTCCTTCTTTTCCTCTTTCTCTTGGTTTCTTGTTGCTGTGTCTGCCTTTTCTCGTTCTGCTTCTCTTCCTTCGCCTTTCTCTTCTTTCTGTTTTTTCTTGCTCTTGTCTTTCTCTTTCTCTGGTTTCTTGTTCCTTTTTTGTCTTTTCTTCCTTCTTCTTTGGTTTCTTGTTGATCTGTGTCTGTCTTTTCTCCTCTCGCGTTCTCTTCCCTTCACCTTTCTCTTCTTTCTTGTTCTCGTCTTTCTCCTTTCTTCTCTGGTTTCTCGATGTCTTTTTTTCCTTCTCGTTCTTGTCTTTCTCTTTCTCTGGTTTCTTTTCTCTCTTTTCTTCCTTCTTCTTCCTCTTTCTCTGGTTTCTTGTTGCTCTGTGTCTGTCTTTTCTCCTCTTGCGTTCTCTTCCCTTCACCTTTCTCTTCTTTCTTGCTCTTGTCTTTCTCTTTTCTTTGGTTTCTTTTCTTTCCTTTTGCTCCTTCCTCCTGTCTTCCTCTTTCTCTGGTTTCTTGCTCCTCCTTTTCTTTCCTTTTCCTCCTTCTTCTTCCTCTTTCTCTGGTTTCTTGTTCCGTCTTGTTCTTGTCTTTCTCTGGTTTCTTTTCTCTCTTTTTTCCTCTTTCTGGTTTCTCTTTTTCCTCGTCGCGTTCTCTCTCCTTCACCTTTCTCTTCTTTTTTTGGTTTATTTTCTTTCCTTTTCCTCTTCTTCTCTCTTTCTGGTTTCTTGTTTCCGTCTTGTTCTTGTCTTTCTCTTTCTCTGGTTTCTTTTCTCTCTTTTCTTCCTCTTTCTCTGGTTTCTCGTCTTTTCTCCTCTCGCGTTCTCTTCCCTTCACCTTTCTCTTCTTTTTTTGGTTTATTTTCTTTCCTTTTGCTCCTTCTCCTTCCTCTTGCTCCTCCTTTTCTTCCTTCTTCTTCCTCTTTCTCTGGTTTCTCTTCTTTCCTTTTTCCTTTCTTCGTCTCTCTCTGGTTCTTTTTCTCCTCTTTCTCTGGTTTTCTTCTTTCCTTTTTCCTCCTTCTTCGTCCTCTTCTCTGGTTTCTTTTCTTCTTCTTCTCATCTCTGGTCTCTTCCTTCCTTTCTCCTTCTTCTTCCTCTTTCTCTGGTTTCTTGTTGTGTGTCTGTCTTTTCTCCTCTCGCGTTCTCTTTCTCTTGCCTTTCTTTTTCTCTCTGGTTTCTTGTTCCGCCTTCTCTTTCTTCTCTCTCTAGCTTCCCGTTTCTCTGTTTTTTTTTTGTTTGTTTGTTCTGTCTTTTTCTCCTTCTTTCTCCTGTCTTTCTTCTCCTCTCGCCTTCTTTTTCACTTCCTTCTCTTCCTGTTTCTCTGGTTTCTTTTCTCTCCTTCTCTTCCTTCTCTCTTCTAGCTTCCTGTTTCGCTGTTCTTTTGTTCCGTCTTCTCCTCCTTTTTCCTATCTCTCTTCTCCTCTCGCCTTCTTTTTCACTTCCATTTCTTCCTGCTCGTTCTTATATTCCTCTTTTTTCTCAGGTTTCTTGTTCCCCCTTCTCCTTCTTCTCCCTTCTATCTTCCTCTCTCTCCGGTTTCTTGTTGCTCCGTGTCTGTTTATTCTCCTCTCGCCTTCCTTGTCACTTCCTTTTCTTCCTTCATTGTTCACTCTCCACCCCATCCCGTTCTCCTCTCATTTCCCCTCTCTCTTTATTATATGTTGCATCTTCCTCGTTCTTCTCTGTCCCTCTCTCTTCCCTCTCCACTGTCTTCTTGCTTCCCCTTCGCTCCTCTCTTGCTCTGTGCCCTCTCCTTCCCTCTCACTTCCCTGTCCATTCCACTTCACTCTCTTCTCACTTCCCTCTCCATTCTCTATCGCTCTGTTGCCTCTCCCTCTCCTTCCCTCTCTGTTCCCTCTCCGCTGCTTCTGCTACCCTCTTTAGTGCCTCTCTTTCTCTCCTTCCCTCTCCACTGCTTCTGCTTCCCTCTTTACTGCCTCTCTCTCTTTCTCCTTCCCTCTCTGTTCCATCTCCACTGCTTCTGTTTCTCTCTTTACTGCCTCTCTCTCTCTCTCCTTCCCTCTCTTTCCCTCTCAATTCCTTCTCTACTGTTCTCCTCTCCTTTCTTCCTTCCCTCTCAATTCTTCTCTGTTCCCCTCGCTCATTCCCCTGTGCCATTCCATCCCTTTCGCTTCCTTCTCGCTTTCCTCTTTCTCCCTCGTTCGCTAAGGTGTACACGTTTAAATATACACATGTGCACTTAATTAAAGAATAAGCTCTTGAGAAAGAAAAGAATATGTCCTCAATCTCTTATTCTTGGAGGTAAAAAAATAAGATGGAAGTGAGTTAACTAATATACATCATCGCTGAAGCGACGATGATAAGAAGAAGGAGAAGAAGAAGAAGAAAAGAAGAAAGAAGAAAAGAAGAAGAAGAAGAAGAAGAAGAAGAAGAAGAAGAGAAGAAGAAGAGGAGCAGAGAGAGAGAGAGAGAGAGAGAGAGAGAGAGAGAGAGAGAGAAGAGAGAGAGAGAGAGAGAGAGAGAGAGAGAGAGAGATTGTAATAAATAGATTTATACATGTTATATAGATAGATAGAAACAGAAGAGAAAGAGAGAGAGAGAGAGAGAGAGAGAGAGAGAGAGAGAGAGAGAGAGAGAGAGAGAGAGAGAGAGAGAGAGAGAGAAGAGAGAGAGAGAGAGAGAGAAGATGGAGAGAGGAGAAAGAGAGAGAGAGAAGAGAGAGAGAGAAGGAGAGAGGAGAGAGAGAGAGAGAGAGAGAGAGAAGAGAGAGAAGAAGAGAGATGAGAGAGAGAGAAGAGAGAGAGAAGAGTCACGTGACATGCGCTATGAGGCTATACAACACGTGCCAGACAAGTACAACAGCTGACTGCCGTCGCTCCCGTATCGAACTGGGAACACAAACACGTCTGCATGAACTGACAATTCCTTACACAAAACGCACACACACACACACACATACGAAAACACATACGTATATACATACATATAGCACGCAACAAAACGCACACACACACATACACAAACACACATACAAATACACATACACATGCACATGCACATGCACATGCACATGCGCATACACATACACATATACATGCACATACACACACACACACACACACACACACACACACACACACACAGACACACACACACACACACACACACACACACACACACAACACAGACACACACATAAACACCACACACACACACACACACACACACACACACACACACAACACACACACACACCACACCACACACACACACACACACACACACACCACCACTTT